TAATTATTATTATTATTATAATTATTATTATTAAAAAAAACCTTATAATCATTATAAAGAGCTGGTGTGGTATTGCCTTGGGTTTCTGAACAAAAGGTGGCACATAATATTAACAAATAAATAAATAAATAAATAAATAAATAAATCCAATATAATTGAAAAATAATCCAGCATCTAACTAAACCTATCATTTAAAAAGATCAGCATGAAAACGTAAGTGCAGAAGCACATTTTATTCATGTGCGTGCACGTGCATGCACGCACACACATGCATATATATGTAAAATTACAGTTAAATCACCTTTTCCTAAGGAGGACTGAAACAAGAACCTGATGGAGGAAACAGCATTGGAAAGGTCCTGTTTCCCCTCTCAATGAGCACATAAGACACAATAAAGACAAAAACGCCCTTACCTTTTATTAATGGGAGAAACAGGTTCTGATTCTAAGTGGACATACAATGAATTCATGTGCATATTCTCTTTCTTACATGGAGGAGTTAATGGCACCTCCAGTTCTCCAATGCAACTTACTGGCAATTTCAGAAAAAAGATTTAAAAGTACAAGGATTTAAATATTTTTCAATATTAAGAATACAATAATCTGAAATACAGCTGAAAGTAATTTGCATGTTAACAAGGTTTTAATGACAGTAATAAAGCCACAGGACTTCCCCATCTCCTTCCCAAACTAATAAACTATCTTCCCCAAAATAAAGCTTGACACTGTATTTAATCAGATAAACATGTAAGGCACTAAATTTTTTGGCCAAAACTCTACAGACATTCAGCACTTGTTAATCAAATAAAATCAACAGATCCTTCTGAAATTTAACACCATCGAAAGCATCTTAATTCTAATTCAGATTAGGGTTACCAGATATCTGAACAGGCAAAGGAGGACACCGACTATTGCAAAGGAGGACAAGTGGGAGGGGAAGGAGCACACACTAACTGCTTAACTTTCTTGGCATCCGTCACAACAATTACAGTGAAAAACAGGGGGGAAAAATACTTAGGCCTACATGTATATGAAATTATTTTTTCCAGCATCAGAAAGACTGGTTTTTCAATTGGAGGAATGTGCTAGAAACTTTAGGGGGCAAAAATCTTCAACAAGTAACTGATTAAGGTCTTGTCAGTTCTAGGCAGCCCTGCAAACCCACAGAGGGCACTGAACAACTAATTAAGATCACAAGTAGAGCTTGTTAACTTGAGGTTAGTAGTTATTAGGGAAGTGACCTGGGCAGAAAAAAGCTGCTCAGGAAGAGATACTGAAGAAGCCAGACAATATTTGATTCTAAGGCTATGCCTGCTGGATGGAGGATGTGAGGGGAAAAAGGAGGTCATGTCCTCCTTTTGCTGGATGCCTGGTAACCCTGGTTCAGATGTACCTACTTGGATTGTTGAATTCTAGTAGATCTTTGTTCTGAGTTGAACAAACTTCTTGAGTGGAGCAATGTTTTGAACTCTCTATTATCTCAGATGTAATTGTCATGCTAAGTTCTGAAAAAGATGTTAACACAAAATACTATAATGTCCTTTTTCTAGAGAATATGTGTAATGTTTACTTGTTTGCAGCAAAAATAATAGAAATAAAATGATGATAATGGGCAACATGAAACACAAGAATTGCTGCCAAAATATAATCCTTTGTATTCTTACTTTTATTAGTTATTCTGGGACATTCATTTTCATCTTCCAAAATTTCTGGAGTTATTGGTAATAAAGATTTTAGGGCTAAACATGTGAGAATCTCCATATCCAGCCTTGAGTTTGTTGCTTCATAGAATTGAAACTGAACAGGAAGTAAAGGAATCTAGAAAGACAGACAACTGGAACAGTATTTCTCAAAATAGCTTGTATAATAATAGTATTTGTATGCTATCTACTTTCTTAACAGCTCATGGAAATACCCCATTGTGGAAGGCACAAGATTTCTGTTTCCAACAAAATACCCAACAGCTTATGGAAATACCCCATTGTGGAAGGCACAAGAAAACTCTTTTTTAAAGGGCCAGACTTTTCTCATCCTATCCAAAGCCCCACAGTTTTCTCAAATAGGCCCAGTTTACCTCCAGGCAAAGTTGGGGTACATATTGGTAGGCTATCCTTGCACTCATCTACTGTCATTGAGAATCTTTCAGCCAGGGCTCACATGCTCCTGCATTGTACTGACCTAATCACATTACAATTAGCAATCTTTTCTAAGCAGAAGCAATGCCCCAAATCAGCCCCAGAGCATTGTTTTTCTGTCTTCTTTAAGTATAATACCCTAATACCTCATCAGGACTCCATACTACTTGTGCAAAGGCACAGATTAGCACTTCTACTTTTATCAGTGAATATATGATGTCATGTGTTACATGGACACCTGATACTGGCTGTTCTAATTTTGTTAGAGTATTGTTTCTTGTTGTGGAGTACATTGGTCAGCCATTTTAGATGATTCTGAAGAGGCTGCTGGGTTCTCATCTATAACTTGTGACCCATTCATCAAG